CAGTTCAGCTGAGATTCATTCTGGATGAGGACTCAGAGGCTTCCAGTCTGAGGAAACAGGACCAGCTGAGGAACTGGTGAGGTGAGATAGCTGTGGCTTGTTCTGTCTCTCTGACCTTCCAGTATTCACCCCAATAACTGGCCTCGGGTTTGATTTTATTAATAAGAACTTTTAAGATTCCTGCTACATACTTATGTTTACAAAGCTATTTTTTGTGCACAAGCCTGTGTATGTGTGAGAGTACGTGTGTGTATGTGCATGTGTGTGTTCATGTTCCCATCAGGGGAATGACATGTATGTAAATATGTGTGTGCATGCATGTGAATGCTTGAAGTTAGTTCCTTGATAACCTCTACTCTATTCCCTGAGAAAAGTCCCTCACTGAACCTCAAGCTCACTGGTTTGACTAATCTGGCTGGCCAGTTTTCCCCAAGGGATCCCCTGTCTCCAACCTCACCCTGAACCACATATGGAATCACAGGAGACTATGCTGAAAACAAGATTTACTGCTGCGGATTCTGTGAATGTGTTGCTCTGATTGATAAATAAAATGCTGATTGGCCAGTAGCCAGGCAGGAAGTATAGTGTAGGTGGAATAAGGAGAGAGGAGAATTCTGGGAAGTGGAAGGCTGAGTCATGAGATGCTGCCAACCACCGCCACCATGAGAAGCAAGTTGTAAGGTATCAGTAAGCCATAAGCCATGTTGCAACTTATAGATTAATAAAAATGGATTAATTTAAGCTATAAGAACTAGATAGCAAGAAGCCTGAGCCATTAGGCCAAACCATTTACATAATATAAGTGTCTATGTGTTTATTTAGGTCTGAGTGGCCGCAGGTCTGAGCAGGACTGGATATAACTCCAGCTACAATTTACCTCTCAATTAACCTGTAATATATTGGATCAAATCACTCACTCCAAGGTCCAGAAACAAAAGTGTATTTTGGCTGAGAACATGATGTCTGATCTCTCCTAGAAGTGAAATCCAATAAACCAGTGTCCTCTCAGCCACTACAGTTCAGGCTTCAGACTTCACAAACAGGTGACAATAGATTACAAACAGCAAAGAGACAGGAAAAAATAACCTAAAAGGGACCAACCTGAGCACTAGCCTTACCTTTTCCACATCCCCCAGGCCCTCAGTGTCCAGGAGGACCAGGGTGTGCTTTGGCTTGGTGGGATGTGGCACACACCACATCCAGATGCCCTTGGTCTCTGACTGCACAGTGGAGCCCAGAGGGAAGCCTGAGGGAAGAGGTGAAGTGTTCTGTTTTGCATGTGGTGGAATGTCTCCTACAGCCTCATGTGCTGAATACTTGATGACCACCTGGTGGCGCTATTTAGAGAGGTTCTAGAGCCTTTGGGGTTCGGGCCTAGCTGGAGGAAGGTCACTAGGTCACTGACTTTGAAGGTTATAATTGGTTCCCAGGGCTCTCCTCCTCCCTGCTTCTTGTCCACCATGAACCACCTCTACGAACACCTTACAGCCATCATCTTCTCCCTTGGCATGAGTCCAGAGTGAATGGACCAAAAGACAATGGAGTGAGTCTCTGAAACTGTGAGCCAAGATAAGTACTGCCTCCTTCTACTGTTGTTTCTGGAACTACAGTCACGACTACATGAAATGGACACTAACAGCAGATCCTCCAAGCAGCAGCATTACAAAGTCAGACACATTTGGACTGTGAATTCCTACCATGTAAGATGGTGCTTTCTCTATTTTCTCAAGACTCTCTTATTATTAGCCATCTATTTCAAACTATAGGGAACATTTAACATGAGAATGATGTCACACAAAGGTTCCAAATGGAAACAAACAGGCATCAAAGGATCAGTCAGCCAACATGGAGGGCTCTGGTAACTATAATACAGTATTCTGACGCCAATAAGGTATCATTTATCATAAGCCCAGCACTTAGGCTGAGAAAGGATGATTGCTGCTGGTCCAACCCTAGCCTGAGTATTATGGCTATCACTAGGCCAACCAGGGATACAGAGCAAAATCCTAGCTCTTAAAAATAAAGGTCTTTGGAAGAATGATGTGTTAGTGGGAGTCACTTGTAAGAGGAGAGTCGAAAGGAGAATGGCTTAATATTTTTGCATTCAAAATAATTAACAAGACAAAGCAAAACATGCCTTTAGTTCCATAACTCAGGAGGTAGAGGCAATTGGACCTATGTGAGTCCAGAGATAGCCTGATCTACATAATAAATTCCAGGTTAGCTGGGGCTACAAAGGGAGACCCTGTCTGAAGAAAAACAAAAGGAAAAAAAGAATGGCTAAAGGTAAAACAACCCAATGTGATTAAAAAATAAATAAGAGTTTGTGAAGTCCAATAAATATTTTTAAGGTCATACCTTGCCAAATAGTCTTATATTCTTAAGGAAATGATCAAGGAAAACCTGTTGTATGAGGCAAGGGGCTAACACAAAGGATACCGGAGCTCAGAGCGACCCCTCTTGAGCACTTTCAAGAGAATTTTTCTTAATGTAAGGAAAGGATTAGGGACAGATACTGTGGGGTGGTAATTTCGTGATGAACCCAGCATGGAAGGCTGGCTGAGCTGAAAGGAGCTGAGCTTCCTCTGTTAGGCCTGGGAGGGAGATGCAGACCAGACAGAGGTGGAGTCAGCCATTAGCAGCACTCACCATGATTCCGGCCAGCCAGGCGATTCATCAAGTAGGACTTCCCTGTACGGTACAATCCGACGATGGCCACGACTACCGCTGGCTGAGAAATTGTGTCTAGGATCTCTACTGCTTCCCGGTTCACCGACAGTTGCTCATTGTGGTTTTCCACCAGACAAATGGGGGCCATCATGTTCTGTCCACTGGCCATAGCCACTTGTCCACCTAAGAGAATCTCCCGACACAAATGAAATTACAGCTCCTCTGTCTCAGCTTACCCAAGCACCCAACAACCTGAGACTGGGGAGACTTCTACATTGTCAGCACATAACCTTACATCTGCGGGCTACAGGGGACTCCCCATCATTCTTCAGAGTTTCTAAGGACGCTTTGCTGAAACACTCACTGCTGTGATCTGCAGAGTAACAATGTAAGAACAAAGCCAAAATGACTGTTAACTGCCCTGGAGTCCTACGAGAGGCTGAGCCATACAAAGGATACCTTAAGTGTGTGAGTCCACTGAAGTGGAAAAGCATCTGCAAGGTATATTCTTAGACCCACAGTGCACACGAGACTGCTGAGTTTTTAAAATCCCAAGTAAGCAACTCATAGAGAGTACTAAAATCATGACAAACAAGCAAAATGACAGAGTCCTTGGTTCTAAGCCCTGGTCTCTCCATGAACAGACTCTTAACATGAGGAAATGATACTATGGGAACTTCGAAAACCAACTGGCATACCACAGCAGCTGCGTAGATAGCCAACTGAAACGATGGCACAACCATAACAGCAGGAGATTGCAGGCTATCTTTGCTTCCCTCCCCTGCCTCTCTCCAAGCCGGCACACGCTTGGTCTGCAGGGAGCACAGAAGACTTTAACTGCATGTAACAGGCGAACCCCAGGCTAACGTTTCTAATCTGTTTTGCCTCACTTGGACTCAGAATGGAGATCACATTCTTGAAGGCGATACTGACAGCTCACGATACAAGTGAATAAATAGATAAAATCTTCTTTGTAAAATTAAAAATGTTTGTGCATTGAGAGACTCTATCCAGAGGGAAGAGGCAACTCAAGAATGGGTGAGGAATATTAACTATGATCTATGTTTTAATGGATTAATCTCTCAACAAAGAGCTCCTTAAATCTATCATAACTACTCAACTGAAGAATGGGCAAAGTCTGGCACTAGACACTTCTCCAATGAAGGCTTGCAAATGGCAATGAACACAAGACATAATATTCACTGTTTGCCACTAATCACCATGGAAAGTCTGAGGCACATTACAATTTTTTAAATTTTATTTTAAAATGATTTCAATTTGTGAATTGGAGAACACTAGATTGAAAGATAAAGTGTTTGTTTTCCAATTAGAAAAATGTCAAAGATGAGAGTCTATTGGGAAAACGAGGATTCCAAATGAAGAAGCCATTTAGGTATAAAATTCCTCTGTTGAGCAGGCAGGGGAGCTTGTTGCAGAGTCTGTCCTCACAGAGTCTCATGTTCATTGACTACTCAGGGTTAACTGGACTTAACTCTTGCTTCTGTCAAATCTAAGCATTTTCTTGAAATCAAATTTAGTCTTGCTTGTTTGTATTTTAAGGGAAAAAAAGGTTATTTCAAGGCTCAGTTCGTTTTGTTGCTCAATAGTCTGTCAAACCCAACTTTCAGGAAGTGCCACTGGAAACCACAGGCATTGTTTTATACCCGCTAGGATGGCTACCACATAGGACAAAACCAAGAATAAATGAGTGTGAACCAGGATGTGAAAAGGTAGACTTTTGCAGTGTTATTAATAGGAGCATGAAGTGATAATATCACTGTGGAAAACAGTATCATTATCTTTATAACATTAACCATAATAATATGGGATCCAATTCCACTTTTGTTTATATACAGTACATGAAAAATTGCAAACAAGGACTTGGACAGACATTAAACACCAATGATCATGGCAGCTGTATTTACAATACCCAAAATGTGGAGACAACTCAATCCCCCACCAATAGATAGATGACTTATCATAATGTGATAGCCCACACAATTGAATATAATCCAGTCAGAGAAGGGAATGAAATTCTACTCCATGCTACAACGTGGATGACCTTTATGAGGACATTATGCCAAGGCAGGAGAATGTTCAGAATCCTGAGAATTCAAATACAGGCAAAGTCGCTAGAGAAGAATGATCAGCTTCTCTGCAGCTTACTCCCATATATGAGAATAAGATAAAGAGCATGAAAAAGGCATACACCATTGTGTGCGTGAGTGTATGTGTGTAATCACATTCTATACATCATCAAAGACAATATTGACTATGTACTTTGCTTAGTGAAACTCAGTGGTATATGAACTAAATTTATTTCTGAATAGATATTTTTACAACCCTACTCTGAGTAGGGTATAATTTAGAGACAGGCAAAACTGTTCTCTTTAGATTACAATTGCCTGTTAGCTCCTTGGCAAGAATAGTGTTTTTCTGTAGGCCAGAGCTACAACAGGGCCTGGCAAAGTGGGCAGTCTCCCACCCAGGGCTCTCCCGAATGCACTTGCTGCTGTGCTCAGTTGAGGATGCCAGGGCATTGCATCCAGAGACCTCAGAGTGTCTGGCTGCCACTTTGCATCTGTCACTGGCCAAAGGGGACAAACTGAACTACCCCAGAATTAAAGCCAACTACAGACTCCTGAAGACCAGACAACAGGCAACCTGCCCTGGCTGCCTCTGTTGCCACTGTGAGTCAGATTAAGTCAAGGTCAACACTCAGTTGCTTGTAAAGTAAACTCACCCAATCCTTTCCCTGCAGGTCACAGCACAGTTCTCACCTGCCTGGTGCTCGCCCCTTGTTCTTCTCTTTCTTCTGCTTTTCATTCCTCCCTTATATAAGATCACAAGATCACATACTGCAGCAGGACTGGAATTGAAAGTAAAGTTACCCAAGAGATTGCGAACGGTGAACGGTGGCGATTCTACAACCTTCCGGGCAGGGGTGAACAAGGAAGGTATGAACAGCAGTAACTCTAGGTCTCAACTCCAGAAACGCAGTCCCACCAACACCTGTTTCTTCCCATCATGCAAGAGTTCTGAGGACTCTTCCACATACGTCCCCCCATCTGGCTAGAGTTTCCTAGACACACAAGACAACAGAAACCCATGCCCAAACACAAGCAGAATTATGTGGCTCAACACTGTAGTAAGACTTTTTTTCCTTAGTGGAAATGCCTGAATGTTTTATCTGTGAAGAGCTTTGAGTATTTTGAATATGTATTTTCTAATGCAGAGGGAGTTTATTAAGAAACCACTTTTAAATAAAATAGTTAGAGCTGGGAGTGTCAGCACACACCTCTAATCCCAACACTCTGGAGGTAGATAGAGGCAGGAAGACAGCCAGAGCTACAGAATAACCCCTGTCGAGAGTATTTCTCCAGACCCTATAGTCCTCTGGGCTGAGAACTGCCTCAGGGGTCTTTAAATGTCTCTTGCTTACAGGCTGCACTAGTGAAGATGGTCATGCTGCACAGCTTGGAGAGAAGCCTGATCAAGAAGAGGAGAGATACCATGCAGAGTTGATCCTGGAACCCACCATCAACTCAACTGTTTCCACACAACACATGGAGGACAGGGGCGAGAAGCTGTGATGAGTGATGTGGTATGAGCAATAGCGGGGGCCTGGGAAACAGATCTGGATATCTTCTGATAAGGACAGATGCTCAGTCATTCTGAGTGTAGGGCTCTAGGTGACCGGTATGCCCCAAAGCCACACTGGGAGTGAGCCCTACTTCCTACAAGATTTATTAATCACCATAACTTCCTCAGTATGCAAAGAGTGTGTGCCTGTTTAGGAGGACACATTTATTCTGAGGTGATATGGGTTGAAGTATTTAAGAGTGAGGCATCATGACATCTTAAATTTCTTTTTAAACAGTTCATCAAAGAAAGAATACAGAAAGTGTCAGGTCCGAAAGATACAAATGGCTGTGGTGTCTACTAGCATACCAAAGTGTCTGCTGGTCTCCAGGCTCATTTAGTATCTGTGGATCTTCTCAGCTCTTCTCACCTTGCCCCTACCTAAACTTCTCCAGCTCATGGGCTTCCCTTCCCCCAGCTTCTCATTCCTACCTACCACTTTGGCAACCTCCCCACTTGGTCTTCCTCTCCATCTCCCCTCTCTCTCTCCTCTCACGGCCTGTTTCACTCTGCTGGCCATGTTCAGTGTACTACTTTTTTCCATGCTCTGCACTCTTCCAGATGTTACTGGCTGTACTCTACCTCCTATCTGTAATAAAAACCTTTCCCTCAACTGTACCTTGGAGCAGTCATGTCCTTACTTTACACAGAAAGCAAGCATTCAACACACACACATTCATATATATATGTGTGTGTGTGTATATACATATATAATGTGTATAAATATACACATGTGTATTAAAAGTAAATGAGTGATTATTTTATTTTTTCTACTTTCTGTATGTTGCAAGAGCTTATATTTAAGATGTTGAGAGGAGTAAATGAACTCCTCAAGTGCACAAAGACCTTTCATATAATGACAAAAATAGAAATTTCCTAAATTTAGGAATTTCCTAAAATTCGGAAAATGGTTAGGTCTGGTGGCACTTTCCTTTAATCCCATTCATTGCCTTTAATGCCTTAAAATATTTGGGATGCAGATGCAGGCTGATTTTGTGAGTTCAAGGTCAGCCTGGTCTACATGTGAGATCCAGACCAGACATGGTTATATGGTGAAACTCTATCTAAAAAAAAAAAAGAAAGAAAAGAAAGAATAAATAAAGGAAAAGAAAAAAGGGAAATGGTATTGGCTGCTGGTGCAGGGAGAGTCAGTTTTCTTCAGTGGTATCATGGTAGTTGGATGGCTCCCTACACCCATGTGTTGTGTGATATTTTGATTGTGTTCTGACAAATAAAGCTTGCTTGGAGTCAGAAGGCAGAGTCAGCCACTAGTTGACCAAAATTAACCATAGAGGCTTGGAGGACTGTAGACAGAGAGGAGACAGGAACCCAGATTCAGAAGGACAAACATGGTATATACTCACTCATAAATGGATACTAGATGAAAAGCAAAGGATAACCAGACTATAACCCACAGCTCCAGAGAAGCTAGCTAACAAGGAGGACCCTAAGAGGGATGCATTGATCACCCAGTGAAGGAGAAATAGATAAGATCTACATGAGCAAACCGGGGATGAGGGAGGGTAATGGAGGGCAAGGGATGGGGATGAGAACATAAGAGAATGGGAGGTTTGAGCTGGAACAGGGACAGAATGGGAGAGAAAGGAAAGAGATACCATGATAAATGAAGATATCATTGAAATATGAAGAAACAAGGTACTAGGGAAGTTCCCAGGAATCCACAGCATAGTCCCACCTCAGACTACCAGCAATAGTTGAGAAAGTGCCTGAACTGACCTATTGCAATAATCAGATTAATGAATACCCTAACTGTCATCATAGAGCCTTCATCCTCTAACTGATGGAAGCAGAAGCAGAGATCCACAGCCTGACACCAGGCTGAGCTCCAGGAGTCCAATTGATGAGAGAGAGGAGGGATTCTATGAGCAAGGGACATCAAGATCATGATGGGGAAATGTACAGAGATCACCAGCCAAACCAGTGGAAACTCATGAACTGTAGACATAAAAACAAAATTTCAAGAGAAATCATAAAGCAAATATTTTGGCAAACTTCTTCAAATGATCTAAGACCAAAGTTAAAAATACAAATGAATAACATTGTAATTGAGGGTCTAGTAGGCACAGGGGCAGATGTAACAATAATTGCTATTGTATTCAAATTGGCCTCTTCAGGAGGTAAATGTTCAACTTTTAGGGATTGGAACTTTATCTCAGATAAAACAAAGTTTAAGATGGGTTGAATATATAAGGCCAGAAGGACAGAGAGGAAAATTAAAGCCATATGTGGCTAATATAGCAATGAATTTATGGGGATGTGATTTTGTTACAACAATAGAATACCCAGATTAACATTCCTCCAATCAGAAACAAACCATAAGCTAACATATGTTTTGGGGGAAAATATTAAAAGATATTATAAAGAACAGTCACTGACCATTCAGGTTGCATATAAACAGGGCACAGTGGCTGCTGATCTTTCAAAGGTACCAACAACCCTACCTTTAAAATGGTTAAATGATAAACCTGTCTGGATGGAACAATGGCCTTTGACATCAAAGGAATTACAGGCCTTAGAACAGCTGGTACAGGAGGAGCTAAATGTTGAACATATTGAAGAATTGACTAGTCCTTAGAATTCTCCTATATTTGTCATTAAAAAGAAATCTGGAAAATGGAGAGTGTTAACAGATTTGAAAGCCATAAATAAAGTAATTCAGTTGATGGGCTCTCTACAGCCTGGAATTCTCCTGCCTTTTCTATGACCTAAAGGATGATCTATTACAGTGGTTTATTTAAAAGACTATTTTTTCACAATACCTTTACAAGAACAGGATAGAGAAAAAATTGCCTTCATGGTGCCTGATTATAATAATTCTCAGCCCATTAAAAGATATCAGTAGGAAGTTCTCCCACAAGGGATGTTAAACAGTCCCACAATATGCCAATATTTTATACAACTGTTGTTGGAAATAATTCATAAAGTTTCCTCAATCTATAATTTACCATTATATGGATGATATCTTACTAGCTGATTCAAATGTAGATACCTTAGAGAAAATGTTTGAAGAAGTAAAGAAATTTTTGCCTTGTTGGGGATTGCAAATTGCTCCTGAAAAAATACAAAGAGGAGATTCTATTAATTACCTGGGATATAAAATTGGTTTACAAAAAAGTTGACCCCAAAAGGTACAAATCAGGAGAAACTGATTGTGAACTTGTAATGACTTTCAAAAATTGCTGGGAGACATTAACTGGCTATGGGCCACAACTGGATTAACATTTCAAGAATTAAGTAATTTATTTCAAACATTAAAAGTTGACAAGGACTTAAATAGTCCAAGAAAATTATTAGCAGAGGCTGAGAGAAAATTGGCTTTGGTAGGATGCACATGTGTATCATTTTGATCAAGAACTTGATTTATTCTGGTTATTTTACCTTCTACACATTCCCCTACAGGAGTTCTAATGCAGAGAGAAGATAATATCTTAGAATGGATATTTTTACCACACAAATAGAGTAAAAAATTAAAGGCCTATGTAGAAAAGGTTTCTAAATTGATTCTGAAAGGAAAATTAAGACTTCATGGACTTCATCAGTTAGCAGGAATAGACCCAGCAGAAATTGAGGTACCTTTTACTAATGCTGAAATTTCCTCCTTATGGGCATAAAATGAATATTGGCAAAGAGCTTGCACTAATTTTTGGGAGAGATTAGCAACAAATATCCCAAAAGCAAGAGAATTCATTTTATAAAGAGAACTAACTGAATCCTTCCTCACACTGTGTGGGGAACACCAATTTCTGGAGGCTCTACATTAATTATATACTGATGAAAACAAATTACATAGGCAGGTTATAAGTCAAGAAATTTAAGTAAAGTGGCTCAAAGCCCTTATGGTTCTTTTCAAAAGTGAGAATTATATGCTATTCTCATGGTATTATTAGATTTGCCAGAACCTCTTAATATAGTTACTGACTCTAAATATGCAGAAAGAGTTGTCTTACACATTGAAACTGCTGAATTTATTCCAGATGATTCAGAATTGACTTTGTTATTTATTCAGTTACAAGAAATAATCAGAAATAGATATCATTCCTTATATATAACACATATCAGATCCCATACAGGTCTATCAGGCCCTCTAGCACAAGGTAATGATGAAATTGATCAACTATTGGTAGAGAATGTGCTAGAAACCTCAGAATTTCATAAGAAACACCATGTTAAGCAAGGGTCTGAAAAAAAGATTTTCCATCACTTGGAAACAAGTCAAGGAAATTATAATTAAATATTCTACTTGTTCTTTGTATAACCAAACTCCACTACCTACAGGAAGTAACCAAAAGAGTACTCAAAGAAATGAAATTTGGCAAATGAATGTGTTTCATTTTGCAGGGTTTGGAAAATTATACACCATACCATAGATACATATTCAGGATTTCAATAGGCAACTGCTTTGAGTTCTGAAAAGGCTGATTCTGTAATTACATATCTATTAGAAGTTATAGTTACTATGGGGATACTTGTACAAATTAAGAATAACAATGCTCCAGCATATGTCTCTTAGTAAAATGAACCAGTTTTTTTTTTTTTTG